GTCCTTAAATAAATCAATGAGTATAGGACGCATAGGGATGCCCACTATCGAAAGACCTTCAACTACCCATCTATTTCATTAAAGCCGTCTGCCGCGTAGGGGTTTTAAAAACCGAGAATTAAAAAAGAAACAAAGCAAGAAACGCGAAACCGCCTGCAAGTTTCAGCCTAATGGTGAATACGGAAGAAACCTCATGACTTGTTCCAACGCACAAAACTTAATGGGAAAATTTTGTAGAACTGTCGAATTCACAACAGAGAATCCGCATTACTGAATAATGCTTAATGAGCATCAATTCAACATAAAACGTTAAAAAAAATTATGCCCTTTCACTGGCTTCAATGAGGGTAACCAAACTTTAATTTTGCGAATCTTTTTCCAACTGCCGCACATGCAGTACCATATGATCGATCAATGAATGACAGTGGGGCAGTAACATCACGCGCAAAAACTTTGTCCGCCTTTCCTGGTCAGAAAAATCTAGGATTCAGAAACAGAGCGATCAAATCCCTCGGGGTACACGGTAGTGGTTTCTGACGTACGGTTTCGGTGACCTTATGATTCCTAATCGAATGACAAGGTGATATCAACCCTAAAATGATCGAGTCACGTTGACCTCATGACCCACAGAAAAAAACCAGTAACAGGACCTCATTGTATGATTGACAAGTGTGTGGTGTGTTAGCAGTGTGCATTATTCACTAGGGAAACTATTCCACTATCAAAGCAATGTGTTTAACTTACTTTTGCTTTTGCTTTGATATAGGTATGACCCAGTAATTCACGAGCAGATAATCGTTGCCCCGGATCCTTCAAAAGACAGGCACGAGTGAATTTCCGGAATTTTTGGCCATAATTGATGTACTGATTGCTCACCGTGGCGACTGTATCGATATTGGGAGGATCATTTTGCAACGTCAACATCAAGACCTATTGGGATTCGAGCATAGAATATGCTTATTTCTGCGAAAACCAATCCTGCTCAACAAACACATACGTGTAGTAATTGTTTCTACCTGGAAAATTAATGAAACGTTTGGAACAAACGCATCAGTTGGGCATCACTTCAGTCTGAAGACAACGATACGTCAAAACAAAAGATGCAGAGGCACAACAAACGAGTAGGACGCAGGACAACAGTCGAGACAACTTCTAGCTTTCAAATGCATCGTGTGAAAAGAAGCCTTTCACCTGCCTCCAACCTGTTTGGACACAGCGCGTTTTTACGAACTGGACCAGTTCAGAGTAGAAAAGACGGGTTCAGGAAGAAGCCAGTGACTGTGGAAGAGTCGAAAAATAATGTGAAAATGCTTGTCTTCAATCCCCCCCCCTCCCAGCTCAGTTCAGAGCAAGACAAATGTTACTGTTTTCTATCTTTATGCTGGGTGAACAGGAAAAAAATCCAGCTACTTAAGGACAAGGTAACCCACGCGTTATGATGGAATCCTATCTTTGGATAGCTCTTTCACACAATTCGACATTCGATGCTTGCAGTGTTGCTGGTACTCGAATTGTGCCACGTTAAGGTTGAACGCTCGCTTCCTAACAGGATTACAGTCAGTAGCGGATTGTGCGCAGTACGCCTCGGCGGTTCAGTACGGATCAACAGTGACAGAACTAAAAGTCAGTGGTCATTCGTCGTGTCCGTGTACGTAACAACCGACTGCATTGCGCCTGAAATCCAGGACAAATTTTACAAACATCTACCTCAACTGTTCTAAACTGTGGTCGATGAACGAACCAGGTAAGTTGCAAGCGTTTCTGGATAGCTTGAGTGCCAGTGTAGCGATTTTCCATATGCGTTTTGCACCTTCAAAGTGCAAAATGCTGCTCCAAGATTGGGTTGGTTCAGCACCCAGTCTCATCCTAACTGGGGAAGTAGTAGAGGAAGTAGACAAATTTTGCTATCTGAGCAGCTATATCTCACCTGGCGGATGCATCACAGATGAAGTATCAGCGCGGATACAAAAGGCTCGGTTGGCATTTGCCAACTTGAGACATCTTTGGCGCCGTCGCGACAACCGGTTGCCTGTGAAGGGTCAACTGTATGCTGCAGCAGTTCGGCCAGTACTGCTCTACGGTGCAGAGAATTGGCCTCTATGGGAACAGGATTAAAAAAAGTGTTCGAACAGCGCTGTCTACGTCGCATTGCACGAGTCTGGTGGGGTAACCGGACTAGCAATGTTGAGGTTAGGCGTAGAGTTTTAGGCAGTCGCGGTCGTCCACTGGAGCAAGTGATCGACCTCCATAGACCATGTTGGTTGAGGCATGTGTTACGCATGTCACCAGATAGGTTTCCGCGGCGAGCGATGCTTGGCGAGGCAGGTAGCGGTTGGAAAAAGGTCAAGGGTGGTCAAGCTAAGACCTGGCATGAGGGTATGAAAACCGTGAGCAGAAGACTGGCTCACATAGGTCCTGTTAGGCTCCCTGGCTGGGGACCTCGGGATGATCGTAACCGATAGTTAGAGACACTGAGCGATATGGCTGGGTGTCGCAAACAGTGGCGCTCATGCATCTACTCATTATTTTTGTAACTTCAGTCTATGAAAATGTGCGATCTTCCGCCTGAATCTGTTCTCAATATTCTAATGATCATTCTGCTGTTTTATCCAAATGGTAACCAAAACCGGCGCACGAAAGTACATGATTAATGGTTGTAAGAAAAGAAGTGATTGAACTGAATACAGACAGGACCATGTGAGCGACGGCAGTTAATTAGCTTCTGAGAAGATTCCACCACTCTTCAGTTTAATCGAAAGTCGAAGGATTTAATAAATGTTGGGATCAAATCCTTTTTTCTTCTCATTTTACTTCTTTTTATTAAATACACAATGATACAATTTTCAGGAAGGGGAAGCGGCCAATCAAACGGTTGCTATACAACACACAAATGGGGAAGTCAGGCTGTGGTGGTGGGATTCGAACACATCCCCGGAGGTGATAATTTGGGAACGTTACCACCGGACCACCACCGCCCGATCAGTCACATCATCCCGTTGACCGTTTCTTTATTTGAAAACTATGTTACACCTACTGCATGCATTACTTTAGAGTGTCTAAAGACACCACTCGTGTATGGACCAGTAAATTTATAATGTTTTGTTCTCAGATGCTGAACTGCTGTGTGTATGTGTGTGTTGGATTGTTTGCTCGACAAACTACAGGTTCGGAGTTGAACCCGTCAGACTCAGACATCCGTCAAGTAGTGAAATAAAACAATTTTATCCATTGAATGCGGGGGGGGGACGATTGGCAAGGAATCACACCGATTTATACAGTATCCAACACTATGCCCAGTCAGCTATCTGAATTGTATCTTACCGGTTCCTGTCTGTCTGGACAAAAACAGTACCAAAAAGCACTGATCGTGAGAAACAATGAGCAACGGTCAAGTTTCGGTAGGAGAAACAAAACATTTTTTTCCCGTTCTTTACTGCACGCAATTTTGAACACTTTGACATACTTTTCTAGTTTTGTGCTTGGCAATGCGCATACATACTTTACTTTACTGCGGATGGCTCATTGGAAAGGATAAGCCGGCTCCAGACGTCATCATGATCATGAAGTTCCTTGAGAGTTTGG